ATGCATCCACAAAAGTGTATCCATTTTTAGTTATGTATGGAGCTCATCCTATAACTCCTTCAAGTTTGATGAGACTTCCCAAAGTAGAGGAGTTTTCGACCAAAGTTGCAGCAGTCAATGAATTTGTGGAGTATATTCACCGAGTACTACATCAGGCCAAGGAAAAGTTGGTGATAGCTCAAAATCGGCAAAAGCAGCATGCCGATGCTCATTGTACAGAAGTGGTTTTTGAGGTTGGAGATCATGTTTGGTTATCTACAACAAATTTGTCTCTTGTAGGAACACCAAAGTTGAACCCTAGTTTCATTGGTCCATTTTTTGTTTTGAAGCGTGTTGGTGAAATGTCATACAAGTTGGAACTTCCGTCACATATGAAAATACATCTAGTATTTCATGTGTCACGATTGCAAAAACATGTACCACGACCAAAACAATTCACCAACCAACCAGCACCACCTCCTCTTCCAACCTTGATAGCAGATTATGAGGAGTTTGAAGTAGAAAAGATACTCAAGAAACGTATTCGAGGTCATAAATATCCCAAAGTAGAGTATTTGTTTCAATGGAAAGGCTATCCATCGTATGAATCAACTTGGGAATCAGCTAAAAATTTAGCAAATGCACCTTTGATAGTTCAGGAGTTTGAATGTATGTGCAACGAGGACGTTGCATCTTAAAAGGAGGGAGTTTTGTAACCATCTTTAGTTAGTTAGAACTAAAGTAGAGGTTACTCTAAATATTGATGTAGATACTTTAGTGTGCACTAGTCATAGCTGCCACGTCAACGATCCGCGCACTTGATAGTGGTAGTACAAAGTGGATGTGTTAGTTGACAGTGCCACGTCAGCAATCCGTGTGCTTGTAGGTAAGGATTGAGTGTGTTAGTTGGGTGCGCCACGTCAGCGATCCGTGTGCTTGTTAGGGTTATCCGCCAAGTCATCCATCCACTAGTAGTGGGATGGATGGTGGGGATTAGATCTTATATCCTTATACTTGTTGGTGAGAGCTATATAAGGGAGAGGAGAACCATTGTTGGTATCTCTCATCTTCGGAGTTTACGATTCTATCTTCGAGTGAGCTTCTCTTTAAACCCTAGTGTTATAAAATGCCGGATTCATATCAATTCATTGAAAAGCTTGCACTCAACACTGTGTGGTGAAATATCCCTTGTAATATAATCAAGCTCTTGTGTTCATGTTGTTCGCTTTAGCGCGTGACTGATTCCTATTCTGTGTTTTATATTTTGATTATCTAATGTGTGCATGTTCAGGTTGTGTGCTTCAATAAGTGAGTGACTCTTATTATGTGTTTAATATTTTGATTATCTAATGTGTGCATGTTCAAGTTGTGTGTTTCAATGAGTGAGTGATCCCTATTATGTGTTTTATATTTTGATTATCTAATGTGTACATGTTTAGGTTGTGTGCTTTAATGAGTGAGTGACTTCTATTTAGTGTTTCATATTTTGGATGTATGCTTTAGTGCATGAGTGACACTGTTATTCTTTAATGTGTGCATGTTCAAGTTGTGTACTTTAGTGCGTGACAGATTTTATTATTGAGTGTTTAATACCTTGATGATCTAATGTGTGCAGGTTCTAAGATGTCGATAAATTCATTTCCACTTAATCAACCTGATATTCTCGAAGCAAAAATTGACAACGTAGTTATGGATTCTTAATCAACCTGAATACAGAGAATGGAAATACCACGTGGATAGAAAAAATCTGATGAGGTTATGAATCTGAGATGTCACTGTTTTTATTGTTCTTATGAGAAGATTAGTGGAAATGGGTATCGTGCAAAGTGTGTATATTGTGGACATGTGCTTGATGGTAAACCTGATAAATTGGAGTTTCATATACTACATCGTTGTACTCTGGCTTCTGTAAGTAGAGTTGAATATATTCGCATTGTAGAACGACTTTTTAAAGGAAGACATATTTTGGCACATATTTCAATTAGATCTCAATTAGGTTTTGAGTCATAGCAAATTATTTCTTCCTCACATTACCAACAACAATTGCCTAAATACTTTAGTCTTTCGATGAATGTACATATACAAGAGAACCATCATTTGAGGTTTGTAGACTTTCTGATGACTTCCAACAGTGCTTTCAATGAATGTTGCAATAAAGAGCTGGGAATGTTCATTCGGGGAATCAATCCCAACTACACTCTTCCTTCTAGAAAGATGGTCTCAGATAGATTGTTACAAAAATATTACAACCAGTGCCTACTGGAGTTGGGGCAGAGTTGAAATATTCCAACGATGTGACAATAACTATGGGTGGGAAGATGTGTCAAAAAGTTTGATTTATATTGTGATGACCATCACAAGTGTAAAACAATGGATCTTAGACATTGTGAGTTTTGTGAAATGCACAATGTCTAAGATCAAGGGTTTGGGGTTCAACAGCGAATGCATTGCAGCAACAACTAATAATGTCAACCAACAAAAAGACTTCTTTCATTGATATCAATTGTTGTTTTATGTTTGATAGTCCAACTACTATGATAAGATTAAGAAACAACTTGGCAAGCTCAAATCCAAGAATTGTTCACTTGCGATGTGCTCTTCATCAATTGAATCTTATCACAAAAGATGTGTCATCTCATGATATCATGAAGCAGTTATTCAAAAGAAACTGCAGGTTGATTAATTTTTTTTACAAGTTTTCATTATTATACTATATATCTCAAAACATGGGGTGGAGAGAACAATATTTGTAAGTTTCTGTCGAGGTTTTGCAAAACACTATGGTATTCAGCCGTACTTGTATGTCTTGATGTTGCATACTTTCAAAGGATTTCAACATTGTATCAAAAAATCAAAGCTAGTAATGAGACTCACATCAACAAAGATATTTTCAAGTTGGTGGAGTATGATTATCATTTTGCAATTAACGAGGAAATTTGTAAACTTATTAAGCTCATAGTTGATAGTATAGCTTGTCTTGAGGAGAATTCAACCACATTATATCAGATTTTTGCAAAACTCATCAAATTATACACAATTGTAAAAGATATTGACGTTATCAAGAACTGCAGCTATTTTGAAGATCACACGATCAAGATTATTTGATAAAAATCTTTTGAATTTAAATATCAAGTCTATTTTGTAGCTCTCTTTTGAATACTCTATATCTATCTGTTGCCATCTCCAGAAAGAAGACATACAACAACATTCGAAAAGATATTGCAAATCTTGCAAAAGGATGGAGATTCATCAAGACGGATACAATATCATTTCTGGCGGATTTGAACGAGTACATCAATCGAAGTAATGTTTTCACAAACAGTCAAAACAAAGATTGTGTAATGAATTTTTGGCAACACTCGTTGATGCAAATGCTTCGCGTGAAAATTTTTGCAATGAAAATATTTTATATTGCTTCTCATAATGCGGCAGTGGAAAGATTGCTTTCACAGCTCTCATTATCAAATACAAAAATTTGCAATCGCATGTTAGTTGAACGCATGAAGATGTTTATCATTGTTAGATTAAATCTTAACTTACATTCAAAATCGATTTCAACATCTTCTTCATTGTTAGCACAAGAGCAAGAAATTTCATTTAATTTAGCACTTGAAGAAGATGAAGATCTCAATATAATAACAATCGATGAATTGAGTTTGAAAAATCTAGATTTTACTTGTGATGATGATGATGATTGTCATCAAGATTTTGACATGTATTTTGATTTTGTTAGATTTAGACAAGCGTCATCTCCACATCTAAACGAAACAACAATGAAGATTTGGATAGAAGTGGTAGATGGGGAAGATTGAAATGTTGACAATTTATTTTCTTGAAAATGTAAAGAAATGATTTTATATAAATTTAAGTTTTTATTTGTGTAGAACAACTTGAAGAATGCATGTATGTATAATTTTTCGTATATTCATACATGCATGTCCAAGTACATGAGGCATGCCTTTAGAGCTTAAAAGGCACAATGGGCATGTCTCAAGAGAAATCTTTGTGCCTCCAATATTAGATGGATGGATACAGTTGATACATTCATGGGTATGGGTAAAGTTTTGAAGCTCAATGCAGGATTCTGATTCACACAGACATATCCGTATGATATCTTTTGCCACATGCTTCTTTGTTGAACATTATCAAATATTTATGGATTTATCAGTTCTTCCATTGATATTCTTCAATAGGTGAGAATGACATATTGGATGGTGAAATCACATGTGATTCATTGATGAAATAATCATCTCTAAACCTTTAGAGTCACTTTGGCTATCTGAAGTAGGATTGGAGAGATCTCTCCCACTATGTGTTAGTGGTTGTTAGTCTCCGTGACAAAAAACTGAAATTTTATAGCTCCAAAACCACTTCCTTTGACACCGTAATTCCTCTGTAACATCACACTGGAAATTATATTACATCTATTAAATGTAAAATATTCAAATTGCATTTTCTACGCATGCCAGAAACTTATAAAGAAGTATAAGATTACTCTCTTGTTCATTGATGTTATATATAGATGATTAAAAAAGGTTAATGTTATGATGGAAGGTTGATGGAAAGATATTATATGATTTGTTGAAGATGTCAATACCCATGTCATCGCACATTGTTATGAGTGTATAATATTTCCATCTTACAGTACACATCAATAAGTCTTGATTCTTAATCACTCACAAATGGTCACGCCTATGATCCATAACCAGAACAAGAACTAGAGTAAATAATTGGAGTAATAAGCTGAAAGTGAAGATTCATGGGATAGCGATGGGGAGCCATCAAGGAGGCAATATTGTTCGCATATAATGTGTTTCATGTTTGCGCTTTGAGTACGAGGAGTCACTCCACTAATAGGAATAACTGCGATGATCTCCTCTAACTGCAGTAGTTGTAGACACAATCGAAAAGCAGAGAACTACGATGAGCCGTAGTTTAGTAGAGCTAGAGGCAGGGGCGGATCGAAGGACAAGTGTAGCGAGGTCTAAAGTTAGACTCCTCTTAATGTAGGGGCGAGATCTTTCTAGACACATCGACCTCTTACAGGATTAATCCAGAAATTATCATTCCTGTTTCTGCCTTGCTTTTCCCTCTTTCTCGCAGGTTCTGCATAGACTGTAGTTCCCACTCCGGAGGGCCCAAATTCGTGACCTCGCTGGATTAAGGTCGATAGTTCGGATTCATGTATAGAAGACCAGCAGCTAGCAGCTCAAATTGGAGGACTTCGAGGAGAGAGTCGGGCGGATTTAGATTCCGGAGAAGTTTTAGAATTGGATCAGGTTGAGCTCAGCGATTCGTTTCCAGGCGTGTGATTGAACATTTCTTGACAAATCGATTGGTGTTAGGGGTGGTTATCGTAAGGGGGAGTTAGTTTCCTTCGTCTTGCTCTCCTCCGACAGCTGAGGTAAGTGTTGAGCCAGTAATGGGACGTACATGGAGTTTCGAGTTTGAAGTCTTTGAATTCGGTTTTTGCGGATAAGAAGGTGAATCGCTGCTTGGAAGGTGATTATGTGTGATTATAGTCTCATTGTCTGGTCATCGGGTAAGAATTGCGCTTAAGCTGAACATTCGAAATATCAAGAGTTGACGTTAGGGTTCAAATGGGTACCTCTAAGTGGTACCACAGTTCTGGAATTTCTGTGGAGGCTGTCAAAGCATTAGTTGGTTGTTGTTGAACGTTAGTTTCGGTTGAAGAGCTGGTTGTGACAGCATCTCAAATACTGATTGTGCAATCTCTGTGAGGGCTTGTTGTTGTCCCTTCCGGTGTTTGCTTATCTGTGAGTGTGAGTTTTACCTGCAAGTCTCTCGCTTGATTGATTGTTAGGCCTTTCTTCAGCTGGCTCGTTTCTATCTCTTAAAACATTCAAGCAATGTGGGCGGCTCTTACGGGTTGTTGGTGAAATTCTGTTTTCTTGCAGATGGTAGAGTCAGATTGTCGAGATTTGATTTTACTTAAGGTTGTTCAATATAAAAATACTAAAGCTTTTTATTCAACATGAATCTGCAGTAAATTTTTTCAAGGAGATGGAGATGAACAATCCCAGTCCGAATGTATATTCAAAAGTTTAGATTTGTGATCTAGAGGTATGTATTATGTGCTTACATACACGACATGACACTTCAATTTTCTGTTACCTACGACTGTAATTGTGGACAATGACTAGCACAGATTTGTGTTGCGATAGAGGATCAGCCGATTGTTAATTATTCCCCCACCAGTTATTAAGTTCACTTTTAATTCATAGTTATTGGAAGTTGTGCCGTTGGAAAGCAAGTTGCTGGGTGCTTGCTATTTGTAGTTTGATTGCGTCTGTCTCGAAGTGATCCTATGAACCGATGTCTTCACCTCCCAGAATTCGTCTGTCGTAAAGCGTAGGGCAAAACCATCATCTTAGGGCAACAATCTAGTTTTTTACCTTTTTATCAAAATTAGTCTAATGGCGAATATTTTGGAAACAAAGTAAGCATAATGAAGCCTTGGAAGTGTTATTTTGAAGGATGATGAAGTTAAACAATATTCAACTCGTCGGATACTTTATGCGCCAAATATTTTTTCTATATGAAACGTAACACTTGGCTTCCGAACATTCTGATATGAACTCTCTAGACCGCACGATGTTGCTAGGCTTGGGTCACTGCTCTGATACATTGTTAACACGAAGAGTATGTCGATCAAATCTTAACTTTTTCACACTAAGTTCGTTATAGCTTTCTCGTTGTGGGGCCTTCTAATCTACTCTGCATCTCTTATTTGTCACACTTCAACTCTTGTCTTTTGTGGTCATCGTAGTATTGGTACTTATGTTGGAATGTGAAATCTAGGTACTAATCATCTTCTTCATTTTAAGGCTTCAAGACCTTTGGATTGCACGAGGCAGCGAGCGGACGAAAGAATGCTCATAAGGCAGTAGGCTAGAAGATAATTCAAAGACCGAAGTCTTCGCCGCGTATTGACGATCATCATCATGTTTGGCGTACTATTTCCAAATCGGAGCTTCCCTCTGGCTGTCTCCACCTTTGCCCAAGTGGATGATCATCGATGGCTACTTGACATGAACTATTTTGTAGGTACGTATATTTATGACTGCTTGTCATCGTTTATCTCAATACCGTTTGCAAGTTTGGCGGCTCAACCGTGCAGTTGCACGGTTGAACCGCGTCACCACGAATTATATAAATTTTGACGGAATTTTTTGTTATTGCAAGTTGTAGATTCCACAAGTATTTTTTGACTCAGGTCGTAAGGTTTCACGCCCTCTCACCTTCAAGAATCTCTTATGTCCTAAATGTCTGATGATCATATCATCTGGGTCAGGAAGGATCCACATTCTCTTCCGTAATTATAGAAGTTTTAAAGTACCTTTCTATGCGCAGGTGAAGCATACGATCAAGTGAAGGACATGTGCCTCTTTCTATTGAACGATCAAATGTTGCCAGCCGATAAAGCTCTGGCGGTCTACGTTCAAAGTCCAGGCTCGTCATTCGAGTACAGAGGAGCAGTCCACAATGCGTGTCCTTCTGCTGTCATTCCGCTTTTGTGGCCAGCTAATCCCAGTCAAATGCTGTTGATGCCTCCTGGCTCTGCTCCCCTTACTGCACAAATAGGTGTTTCTGTTGAAGATTTAGCAACTTTGCCCCTTCTCAATTTAGGCCAGCAAAAGCGTGTGGAGGAATTAGCAATGAAGGTAGGTGAAAACCTTTTCAATTTCATGCAATCATTCTGCACCGTGGAAGGAGACAAACTCGTGGTTCCTATGGATATACTGAATCGGTGGTTCAAGAAGTTTCAAGATAAAGCCAAACTAGACCCAGAGTACCTCAATAGATTTACGCTGTAACTTCACAAGGTTTTTCTATCTTCCCTCCTACTTACAGCAATTTTCATAATTGCGAGCGTCTTGTTCGTTGTTTCTTTTGCAATGGAGAATGTTTCGGTGATGATTGTGTTCGTTGTGCTCCTATTTTAATTTTTTTTGTAAAAGGCATCATTCACTAACATCGAGGTCTTCACATGATGCTCCAGCCTAATCATTTTACTTCAAATCAAGGAAGGTAAAGGCCAAGTTCATAAGTGAAGGCAAGTGGGAGATAATGATGTGTTACCCGTCGTTGAATGAGGAATCATGAACAGGGTTGTTTATGTAGGAACCCTTATTTGGGTCAATATTGGCAACCGTGGGTGATCGACGAAACTCCTCCTCGGAGGATAACCGGCCTCCTCTGCAGAGTAATAGCACAATTTGGTTGTTCTTGGTGTGTCCCGGACGTACTAATTCACTTGTGTGGTTCTAGAAAGATTGAAGATGGTTGCTCGCGAAGTTCCGTTGGATCTTGTCCATCTGAATTGACGAGCTGATCAATCTACTTAAAAAAGTTTTCATGTAAGGGGCGTTTTGGTTTCAATAATGCCAGGCCTTCGAAGTACTGGTCAACTTCTGGCCATCAGTGTGGACATCCAGGAGATCGTGTCCTTTCTGAAGCTTCATAATCTTATATTTGTTGTATAGCATCAATGCACTCAATTAGGCTCGTCCTCCGTGCATTGTTAATGTTTATGAGCCACTGTTAAGCTCACGGCCAACACTATGTTAAAGTATAAGGAAACTTGTGATCACAGTTGCACCATGCACATCGTTCCTACCGGACAAGAGGTCCCCATTTCCCGTGGACAAGTGAGAGGTTTGGTGTTAGACGGGTGTTCTATAGGTAGAATTTGTTTGGTGGCCCTTCTTGACAAACGGATGGGCGTCGACTCTATTGTGGAGAACTTTCTACCATGCTAGTGAATAATAAAGATATTTATTTTGTCGTATCACAAGCATTCAGTGTTCGCATTGTTCGGCAAGTGGAAGATATCTCACCGTATTCGGTGAAATTGTCCGAGCCCAGAGGAGGCGGTGGTGCTCTTCGAAATCTCAGACCGTTACGGAGTTCAAGTGGGCAGGGTGTGCATTGCAATTCTTACTCTCATGACCTCATCCCTCTAGCCGCATACGGATCTGCATCTATGAAATCAATGAACCCATCGTGCAACAGCAGTACTTGTCTATTCGGTTGGTCACGCTTGTACTCTTGAAGCTCTAGGTCGAGGTTCTAACCTCCCAGACACCATGCTCGCTGTGAGGGAAGTTCCCAACAGTCTTCCATTGTCGCAGAACCTTCATGGGTTTGGAGTCATAGTACAAATTTATCCGTCTCGCTCCAGTAAATAGTAAATCACAAATGTAGGATAAAGACGAATGACGATCGAGTTAGACAGGGATCGTATCGACTGCTGAAGTCCTGACTGAGATGTATGACTCTGCACTGACGAGGCATGTGCTGGAGCTTGTCACCTAAAGGGAACTTTCACGAGTAATACTAGTAAATGACGCACATGATGCGCACTCGGATTTGCAGATTGTACCGGGTTCAGCGGAGGGAAACAAACTACGAGACTGGTGGACTGGTTCCAGCTCTGCCCACAATGAACGCTCGGCTCTGTGCCGACCTCTCACGGAGCCAGTGCGGCGCCCTGCAAGGTTGGAAACTACAGTGTTGGGATTTGCCTCTAGGTCCAGATTTGGAATGAGGAGAAATTAGATTCATTCTTTCGGAAAGTGTGTATCGAATTAATGTTTGTAGATATTTCGGAGCTCGTTCTGTATTAAAACAGATTTCCAGATGTGGTTCATCATGCTTCAACGATCCGGAGTTTAGCACCCTCGTCGAGCTCCACGTGAAGTTAACGATTGCGATTGCGCCTATCCGAATGAATTCTGCATGCCAAAACAATCAGATCATATACGCACATTTCCCGAACATTCAGAATCTCTGTGATCAGACTCCGATCATATTCCTCGAGAGGCGTGGATAGTGGGGGAGGAGAGAAGACGCCATGCGCCGGGACCCTGATGATGCTAAGACTTGCAGAATGCTGGGGAAGTGTGTAACGTGAGACTTGAAAGTACCAAGAGCAAGGGAAAGTCGCACGAGGGTGAAGAGTCCAGAGGCTGTCCAGTCTAACACTCCCTGACCAAATTTATGGAACAAGGGCACAAAATGGGATCTGCCATATATTGCTCGAACTTCTGTAACGACTAATATCGATGGGAATGTATATACCTAAACCACGAGTTTCGCTGTATGATACGCCTCCTATATTTATGTGATTCATGATATATTTTGCCACCTTATCGTAATCCATATATAAAAGCCTTCTATATCCTTGAAAAGCGCAGTGCTCGGATACCGGGTCATGATAAAAACATGAAATTCATCTTGGATAAACAGCGGCACTCCACTTCTGTCTTTCACAAGACCAAACACTTACTAAAATTGAGACAATAGCCTTGAGCAACTCTGGGATCTCCAGGGACTGGCGGAAGTATTGAGTTTCCACCAATAAGGCACCTTTTCAGAAAGCAGTGATGTCTCGTGGCCCACGAACTTCTTCTGTGAGAAGGCTTGAATACTCACCTACGCACTAATCATTAAGCTATGGGTGGAAATTTCATCATACGGAAGAATGGTGATTCTCCATTCTTTCGAACTGTGTAATAGTGAATGAAAACAACACCGTACTCTTGACACACGCTCCATTAAGCAGCAAGTCTCTTGAGCCAGATATTTTTTCATTAGAATCCTCCTCACATCTCTATACTTACTGAATAAACGTACTGTTCTTCTTCGAAGGTAAAGGCAAGGTTTACGGAAAGAAATACATGTCCCTGACCTTGACTGGTGCTTTGTTTTCAAAGAAGCACGTAAGAAGATTTTGTATCTTGAAGCTACTTGTTATTGTTATTCCCAGCTTTCTTTTTCAAGTCAGTCTTTGGTTCTTATTTGTTTTCCTCCCAGTTAAGTACTTTTGGGTGTTTCGATTTGTGTTAAGCACATTCCCTTCACTATCCTCGTCACTACTCCTCCTCAGGTTGCGAAGTCTTATATTTATCGTGGTTGTTATCGCCAATCGCAACAAACGCACACAACTGGCTTGTATGTACGTATTAGGGAACTACATAACAATATTTACTGATATTTTATAAGAGCCTTGGAAGGATACAAGGTGTTTTAACTGGCACCAAATGAGCTCTCATATGACCTTTTCTCGGAAACTCATATCTTCCCCAAGAGTCTTAAACAAATCTATAAGTTTTCTGTCTTCATCTTTTACCGGTATAATTTGGTGTAGTCCCGACCAATGCATGCAATCATTATGACTGAGTTCCTACAAAAATTCTTCAGGAATAGGCCTTCTCCGGTACTTTTTGTAGGGTTTGTATCAAAACCTCCAATATCCTTGTAACTTACGGGACCAGTCTTTCGGTGTTATATAAATAAACATTATTGATCTGTAGGGGCTAAGAATCTGATTCTGATGTGCTCCTGGTATCCGCACAGTCAGATAGCTTTCAAGTCTTCTTTTCTTTTTGTAGTCTATTCGTCTCGGTTTTCGCGCTCGGTAGCCAATTTGACTCCTCTATCCCACTTTTGATTGTCAGCTTCGGTCTATCATTCATTTCATTTCATTTTCTCAACGTGCGTGCCCTCGGCAGTCAACAGCAGCGCACTCTTCTTTGTTGTTTCCACGGAGACAAGAGCCACGCTTCGACATTGTCTTCGCTTCCGTCCTCACATCCACCGGCTCGGCCTCCATCTTCCTCAGTCCATCACGTTTCGCGTCCGTGGAAGTCTTGCTTTCTTCCCAGTCTAAAGACCGGCCAAGTCTGCCCGACTTTTCATGCTTCGAACTTAAGGTAAGTTTGAGTCCATGCCAGTTTTGTTACTTGAACTTTACAAAAGGCGGCTGGCTTTAAGTGCTTACGATATTTTACAGTCTCCATGAATGCCAGTTTTTGTTCTTGATTAGTTCTTCGAGATCATTTTAGATATTCAGCTAATAAATTAAAATATATGAGTATTTGGGGTGTAAACAGAAAGGGAGGCTGCATGTGTAGTTCGACGTTGTTGACATAAGTGTATTCGGCGTGATTTCACTTTTCTCATGGCAAACCAATTATTGAACGACCAATTTTTTAATGATATGTAAAAGCTCCACATTTTGACTATGTCGCATAATTAAGTGTGAATGAACCATCTCAACGGACGTTTATAAATTGCTGGATAAAGACTCGAGCTTCTCAGACTAGATTATTGTATATGCTCTTCTTCGTCCGAAGGTAAAACTACGATACTGTAAGATATCTCCACTCCGGGTGATCACACACTGACAGTAGCGAAAACAAGATAGACCGGTAGACGGACGACTTCGTATCGGTTGGAGTGGGACCCCCGCCAGACCCACTTTGGGGAATAACTTGATAGCGAAGTCAGTTAGGATAAGAAACCACGTCTGATCTGAGGTCATGAAGGTCACGCCGGCACGGTGCGCAATTATAGAATCTAGTATACATAGCGCTTGTCAGAAGAATACTCCGCTGACCATGTAGCTGCCGCACCAATGACACGCCAAGAGCCTCGTTCCGCCCGAATAGAACAGGAGGACCGGCAGCAAACAGAGAACCTTTTGCAGCTTGAGAATGCAAGAACAAGATGCACATGGAAAGAAAAAAAGTGTTGCAGCAACTGCAGGCAGTCCGGACTCCGTAGAATATATCATAAATCATTAGGGAGGTGTACATGGGTCGCACATTTAGTCTCGGCAACGCGCATTGCAGTCTGATCTAGTCAGTTTGGGCTGCTGCATAGAGGCAGAAGTTAACTCGAGTTCCAGGGCTTCCGTAGTCCAAGTGACGACTACTGTAGTTGCACCCGAGGCCTAGTCCAGAAGATGGAATTCAACAGCTCAGCTCGGAAAGGGCAGTGACCACCACCAACACCACATGCCAAATTCAGGATCCTGCAGACACTAGGGATCTTTTTCTCCCTAGACTTTGTCCGGCTCACGTCGGGACTCGGGGGTGCCTTGAGAACAAAGAATTGGAAAGTTACACGAGTCCGGTCGTCCGGTCGTGGACGTTCCTCGCGCACGCGGGGCCAAGAAGGGATCGCCCGAATTCGCTACCCTTCCTCTTTTGTTTCTTGGAATAAAGATTAACTTGATGGTTGTCCGTTGACCGTATTGTGAAGGTGTCTCACCATCATCATCATCATCATGGATATGATCACCTCATTCGCATTTCGTCATCTTCAAGGAGCCCGACATGCTTTTCAGACCATGAATTTGGGCCGCTCCGAGTTCACTTGCGGCTTCAAGTCTCGGAATATATTCGAGTGCCGTACAAAGATTAAGAGTCGAGAGAAAACTGTCGCCTTTGCGATGAGATCTACGGACCTTGCATATTATGGCTCTCGCTCGCGTAGCGCCGAAGCACTGTACTGCAGGAAACAGCGTACTCTGGAAAACGACGCGGGCACATCCCCAGGCAGGCGAAGAGTCCAACATTTACCAGACGATATACCGAAAATGGAAAAACTTTCAAAGAAGATAAATTAGTAATACTGAGAGTCAAGAAAACAAGAAAGAGAAAGAAGTGGAACTCCTGCGACAAAGTCTCATGAGAAACGCGCCTAGGATGAGCACATCCTGTACACGAAAATCTAGCCAGCTCAGTCGTCGACTGGGAAATCACTTCGCCCACAGGCACACAAGATTGAAAGTGTGAATCCGCATCCGCAGATGAACCCAGTAAATGAGTTGGCTTTCGAAGTCGGATGACCTTCACCGCAACATTGGGATCGAGTGCATCCATAATGATGAAGGGAGAACCGGGGAGGGCCGGGCGGGCCATGAACCCACAATCTACCAGCAGTAGTTTTACCAAATCCCCGACAGAAGGGTACTCAATCTGGTTTGTCATCAAGTCCATAAACATCTTGACAAAACCACACACAAATCATGACATTTGCATCAAGCTCCCGTGACGAAACATGCGATGGCTCTTCCACAGAAACACCTCCAGTGAAAATTACCGAATCCACCAGTACAGCTGCTGTCAATCGAATCCACAAAACGAACTCCGAACCCGTGAACTCGAGAACACGCATCGCAGCCACAGATCGCGAGCAAGGTTCGTCGGCGGAAGCGCCGGAAAAGGAATGTTCAAACCAGTAAAAGGGATTGAAAGGCGCGTCGTGAACGCAACACCGTCGTTCGAATGCCGGAGCCCGGCGGCAGAAAAGAAGGCGGAGTGCCGTGGATGGACAGGACCGTTGCCCAGTCAGCTCGTCGGGAAGGAAGGAAGGAAGGACGCAGTCGCAAGCAAGCCAAACCGGCGCCGGGAGAGTCGGGAAGGAGGGAGTGCAGGAACAACTGTGGCGGCACAGTTTGGGTACCAGCTCTCGTGCGGGACCGTCCCCGACCCACCGGCCGAGCAAGTCTTCCGCCATCCAGGAGCAGGAGCTTCAGCGAGAAGGCAGCGAGGCAATCCGTGGATTCAAACGCTTGACTCGGTCACAACAGGTCAGTGAACAGGGGCAGGGGCGAGAGTGTTGCGAAACTCCCGGTACACGGTAGGCCCGTTTGACTTGTGTCCAGTGTCGTCGTGGTCTCGGGCCATCTCGATCCGAGCCGTCGATTTCAAATCACGCCCATCCGACGCTCCCGGCCGGCTCGCGCAGCGCCCCCTTATTAGTGCTCCGCGCGAGGGATTCGTCGGGGGTCGTGATTTCGAACAGCTCGCTCGTTCATCGGCACTAGCAGCAGCTGCAAAATCGGCAGAGCCGTGCAGACGCACACAAGTTGTCGAGGTCGGCGCCCCGCCAGTTCGCCAATTCGCTCGTCGTAGATTTGTAGGATCCGTTGGAAAACATCGGGAGATTGCCACTCTCAAGGCGAGCAGGCCAGAAATTCGATAAAAAAGACGCCCGTGTAATCAACTTTGGGGTGAACAGCAGATTTTGATTGGCTGTTTTTTGACAGGAGGAGGGTATCAGTTGATTTTTGTTGGGTGTCGGAGGACAGCGATTCCGCCAGGCTCGTCGAGATGAAGTTCAGTAATACGCTTATTGTGATATGGAATACTATTACTCTTCTGGGCTCGGCTGTAATTATCGGAGCCGGCATTTGGTTGGCCACGAAGCATGAAAATACCACCTGCATCAAATTTTTGCAGTGGCCGATTATCATTCTCGGGATCTTCGTGCTCGTGGTTTCGATATTCGGGTTCGTTGGCGCGTGCTCGAAAAATGTGTGCTTCTTATGGATCTATCTCGCGGTGACGTTCATCCTCATTCTGCTGCTCGTCATTTTCACCATCTTCGCTTTCGTAGTCACCAACAAAGGTGCAGGGGAAGCGCTATCCAATAAAGGATTCAAGGAGTACAGACTCGGGGACTATTCAAACTGGCTGCAGAAGCGCGTGGAGAAGCAGAGCAACTGGGACAAGATCCAGAGCTGCTTGGCCGATGCCAAGGTCTGCAACGATATGAACAACGACTATCCTACAGAAGCTGCCTTCAACGCCGCCAATCTTACCCCACTAGAGGTAAATTTCAATCCTTTCATTCCTTTGCAGCATCACCTCGAGAGGCTATACTTTCCTATCAGTACTTCGCCTTAGCTTGCAGACCAGCCCCGATTGCACTCATTGACTACCTGTGTTCCAGAATACCCTGTTGTTTTGGACTTGAGCTTTGAACGCCTGAACGTGAGGTCCGTCATTCGGATCATCTGCTCAGCCACTCTGCAGCTACAGAATGTCATTTAGTCATCGACCGAGTCGTGCTGAAGGAACAACCACCTCCTTTGTGATAAGGGATACGTACGGCCTCCTTCGCAATCTGATGTTGTGGTTATTTTTCTGTGCAGTCTGGCTGTTGCAAGCCGCCCGTGGAGTGTAACTTCCAATTCGTCAATGCAACGGCATGGACCGCGCCGACTCCAATAACCTCGAACAATACCGACTGTACTAAGTGGAGTGACGATCCAAAGATTCTTTGCTTCGAATGTGATTCGTGCAAGGCTGGAGTTCTACAGAATGTTAAAAAGGACTGGCGCAAAGTGGCGACAGTGTTAATTGTCACTTTGGTCATCATGATCATCGTGTACACTATTGGTTGCTGTGCATTCAGAAATGCTCGCAGGGGCGGTTCTTACACGAAGCAAGGTTATGGACCATAGAGTTTGAGAAGAGAATCATCACATGTAGTTATTCTTCTGCGCAGGTAGTCAGACAATTGTTACCGTCTTTCGTTCGCGTACGCTATTGGAGACTAGTGTAAAATTGCATACGCAGATACGTATAGCGATCGATTTTGTGCATAAATTGTATTTTGGCTTGGAAGGACGCTACTGTCCCATTTTGTGATCGTCTGCTACGGTCGAGAAACAGCAATATTTTGTTGATTAGCATAGGTACTTTAGGTTGCGACCAGGTCATTCATTCCTGTGCTCCAGATAGCATTTCAATTCAAAGGCCCGCTATTTTTTATTTGGAATTTCTTGGAGATTTATTTGGGAATGTTCTTATATCTCCCATGTTACTGGATTACCAAACGATCGAAAGTTACGACTGCACTCGAATCTCTGTCAGATTTATGTTAGGCACGAAACGCACTAACTCTACATCTATTTCCGATCTGCTCCATCTTTAGACACACTTCCGATGTCATTGAAGAAATGATGCGTCAATACCAGGACTGCACTCAAATTTCCTTTCAGATGCTAGAAATATGATCAAATTTCCTTTCTGATGCGAGAAATATGAACATAAGACAGCAGTTTATTAATTGTTTCATTTTTGGTGAGTCTATGTCACCAACAATATAACAGCGAAACCGTCAAAAATATTACTTATACGATGAGTCATATCTCTTTGCTGAATTCTTCACAAGCACGAAATGTGCACGCATTACGTGTGTTGTTTTTGAGTGCCATCTCTCGAAATTTCCAACGCCAATAATGTCAATCAAGGCCAAGGGTGCCACAACTCCCTGTCAGTTTGTTAAGCACGGAATATGTACGCATCGCATACATGTCCACAAATCAACCTCGGCAATATGTTTCATCAATGTCAAGAGTCAATAGCTTTCACTACACGCAAAAAACGATTTCATATTCTTCCCCTACGAGTTATCCACCCTGTGACAGATTCTGGAACAAAACGCCTTCCAACTTCAGAAGCTAATTGTCGCAATCGCAAGATATAAAACCCACTGTATTGTGACATGACCAAATTGACAATTCATTGAACTTTTACTGATACACCAAAATTGTGGCACTTATCCTGGGTACATCAGGAAAGATTACCTAAACTCTCACCGCTTAGGATGGATAGAGGAGGTTTGGGGTATCTTTTGTGAAACACATTTTCACAACAAGATAGAAGGGAACTGAGTCTAAAGTTGAATCCATACTTGCTCACATATTCATGGCGAGGTCTGATGCGGTCCGGTAAGCTGTAGCTTAAGTAATGGGGGAAAGAGATAAGCTCCATTACTTGCAGATTCATTTCTTTCACAAGATACTGCACCTTCGGTTTTATGGATTTCTCCAAGCTATGGCAGAATATGTTTGGGTACTTGACGACTAACCTGTCCAAACGAAGATTCCAACTAACCGGTTAGTTCCACCCGAGTCAAGACTGATAACAGCGGCATTTAGTTCATTTTCCTATGCATGAGAAAAAATTAACAGAAGGCTCTAGCAGCTGTGAGACCTCAAAAGGGGTTGGAAGATGAGAACTGACCTGGCAATGTCATCGTTTTGGAGACCCATCTCTGAAAAAAACCCAACTTTCGGCCGAATATTTGTCTCTACACTGAAGGACAGAATGGAGATCTGAGAGCTGACTATTTTCGAAATCTGATCATTTTGCAAGTGCAATTCCTCTTGCAAAAATTGCAAAATTCCTTTGTATTTATTGTCCAAGCTGAGGCTCATGATCTGTACAGAGAAACGACGAAACCTGGATCAGTTCTCCGGACATTACCACATCCTGCTGTCGGTTACAGAGAACCTTGAGAGGAATTTGGTCCACCTCCTGCTTAACACGTGTGTGACGGATGAAGAAAGACGTGAACTGAGAAAAAGAAAAACTCGTTCATACGCAGACTAGGAAACGCTGATCGTGTTCCTTAGACCTCCGACATTGCTTAATTAAAGTAGAAGGAAAGGAATGAATGCCTGAGGTAAAATCATCTGATACCACGAGCTCCACTGATGTGCACCACAAACCTTCTGTTTGTAAGAGGTTGTGGTTTATTAAAGTCTAAAACTTTGAAGAACAATTATTCACCAGAGGTAGGAAAATACACAATCGGAAGAAGACTGGAAGAACTCCGAACAGAAGTAGGCAAATGGACAAACCAACTGTAGGCAATGAGAAGGACCAAAACCTGGGGGATTTTGAAAATTGCTCGCGCAATATCGGATATACCCGCTTCTTTCAGAGATTGTACGTTTTTATCAAATTTACTGATACTCGTACCAATGAGGGCAGGATACCTGACAAAAACCCTCCCGATCTCTTCATCCTGGGCAGAAGAAATTAATACAGTATGTTATTTGAAAGCAGAAGCTTTGACTGAGGAAAATATAAGATCTAGAGCTTGTAGTCTAGAACATGTATACATATCCCGCTTAATGGACCAGAAAATGTCGCAGAAGATCCCAGAAGCAACAGGACATGAAACATCACCTTGAAGAAAAAATATGGTCACACTTTTACCAACACTGATCTCGGGCAAATGGAAGATGCAAACCTTCAGGCCAGCTTCTAGAAGCTTCTGCTCAATTGCAAGCAACTTCCCTTCCAAGCTGTATGTCAGAATTTGTGGAGACCGGAGGACCATCTTACCCATTTCCTCTTTCGTAATTCCTCGCTGTCGCAAAAACTCGACCTGAAAACCATATGACTTCATTCAGTGCGTAACATCCCAGAGCTTGCAGCAAGAGATGGTGTTCAGAATATGCAGTAATGATTAGCAGAATGATCAGTAATAATGAAATAGCAAAGCGAGGGAATTGATTAATCAGTAATAATTACCTTCGGCCGGAGACATTCTTCAACGCTGCTTCCTGCTATATAAGGGTTGGCAAACAGGAGATTGCCAAAATCCTTCTTCTGTACACCCACCTCTTCGTCTAAGAAAGTTGCGACCTCAATTAGTTTCTTCATCGAAAGCTTAAGAAAAGTATTCTTGACAGCGGAAGGAAGGCGCTTTCGCATTTGGAGTAACTGATTGTCTCCAAGTCCACATGTCTCCAAAAATTTGAGTTTCTCTTCCAAATCTGGGATGTTATTGAATTGTGTCGCGACACTGGGCTCTGAACCCTCAGTGTCAATAACTGCTGCAAGCACCTCGCTCGTAGGAGCCCGATTCCATCCCTTGCCTTTCCAACTCTTACCGGCAGTCACAGCTTCCGTTTTAACTTCAACCGCTGTCGTTGAATACTTGGACACTGACATTCCATACTCGTGAAAGGGCATCGAGTAAGTTGATCTCCGTCTCCCGTGAGCTCTTGTGTCCACGAACACATCAACAGAATGACCATATCCTAAAGTTTTGCTCGACGTTCCCTTGACAACCGAAGTGTTCAGGACTGGACTTGTGGAAAAGGAGCTAACGGTGCCTGAAATTTTATTCGTGTGACCAAAATTACTGCTTGTGCCCGGATCAGATCTAAGAGGACTAGAAGCGCTCTCCAAATTGTTGTAACCAGCGGTAGCGTCCCAGGCCACATTTGAGAATGGAAAAGCCACGGCAATTCTCATAAGAAGCGACTCCACCGATGGAAGAGCTCCAGCAACACTCCAAGTCAACATTGTGTTGCCTAATACGGTGCCAGCACAACCGATGGTGCGCTGAGTGGGCATTTTGACAGGCACGGAAAAGCAGCATTCACAGCAGTATGCGGCTCAGCCCTGCAGCACCAGAAGGATCCTCGGCACCCTCGCTCAGCGCCCCATCCGAACCCATGACGAAGCGCCTCTTCTCACACTTAATCCAATTCGTCAGACAAATTCCTGGCAAACACCTTGGCGATTGAGAAATCTGTGTGCCGAAGCACAAATTTCCACATCCTTCACGGCATACATTCCTCGACGCTCGTTCTGCCTTTCAAGTCTACATTCCCTGGGAGCCGTGGCCAGCATTGGCATGAACCTCGCTTAAATCCTATGCCTATTTAAAAACTGATGTGCTTAAGAGACTTCAACCCCAGCCCGCGCTCCTCTAAGTTGGTTCCTCTTCCAATAAACCATCGCTTCTTCGTGTAATTCCTCGATCATGCGAAGATTAGGGAAGAATTAGGTCGAGTTTAGAGCTGCTCGTGCGGTCAAGTTTAATCAGACAGCATCCTCAAGGTCGAACTACGGTGTACTGTTGATCGATCCCCAGAGATCCCCCGTGTATTTATTCGTTTTACTGTTTCCTATTGCGTCCAGTGCTTGAGAAACAAGAGACATGCTAAACAACATGATGCCGATCTCTTGTGGCATAAGAAAAGTATGTGCGACAAACAAGTAGTGAATGCAGCTTTGTAAGTATTGAGTATAAATTTATCTATCTTTTATTTGATTACTTAACTAAAAATCGTGTATCTTAAAAGGTAATTTACAGAACTTTCTAGGAAAATATTTTCTATTTAATGCAATTTTTTTGGTTTTATAGGCTCATTTCCGACTTCTGAGATGGGAATTTTATTATATAAGGTATTACATATTCATTCCATTGAAATTATTTGCTAATCTTTAATTTCTGTTTATTGGTCCAATAAACGGTAATTTCTGTAATGTTAAAAGATTTTTTTAATATACATATTTCAACTACCATTTATATATCTCTCCGAATAATAAAAATTTAGATTACACTCATCCAGATGCTGACTGTACAGCACTTGAGATAGATAATTCTAATATCATAGATATAAAAATAACGATGATGTTATTGGATCTTTCCTATGAAGTTGATTTTTAATATATTGTGATAAACAATTTGAGGTCTGCTGCATTTCACCTTAACAGCAGTATCCAAGCCCCGCAAGATTTGTTCCTGCAACATCTGGAGACAACAAATATCTTCAACATACTGAGCATAGTGCACCTCGTTTCTTCAAAATCAGAACTTTCAATGAACAAATTCTTCCTCGCCAAATTCTCGCTCCTATTTGACAATTTCATAACTTGGGCACCTCAAACTTACTACTTAGGGCAAACCATGACCATACCATCAACAAGAGCTTATATCACAGCTCGACCTGCGCGAATGGTGTAACAACTACCTCGTTTGAGGTTCGACCACACAGCTTAATCAGTGAACACGGAGCACTCTTTTCATATTGGCATTTCCAGATTGAGGGCAACTTTCACTTGATTGCTATTGAGGGTTCTGTAGGCTAGATTACCACCCGTGTTCTTCAGATGTAACCTAGGCACATCATAAATCCAGTGGGAGATATAGCGACTTCATCACTAGTTCCTCCTTGTTTACTTCAGCACTCGAGCTGGAATTCTGTAGCTTTTGTTGGCATCTGAATTTGGCATTCTCATTTGAGTGCGTTGTGAATCAGGTACAACAATGATAATCAACCCACACAAATTAAATTAATCGGGTGCCAAGTATTATAGCAGAAAGTATGGAAGACCCATCAAGTCGGACCAGGATGATCTTCCATGAAAAATCCCTCTAACCTTTAGACTGATAACCAATTTCGCAAAAGGCTACATCCATGTTTTAAATCGGACATGAGATAAAAAATGGAAATGAAATATAATTCCAAAAATATAAAGTAGGCTAATAAAATTGTAAATAGTGAATAGTATCATCTTTGTAGTATTTCGAATGCAAATCATGTCTGATTGATTCATTGCATTTTCTTCTTCAACTTTTTGATTGGACTTTTTTGACTATGCTTGCTTGGAAAGGGATCGGTAGGTTTTTTCTTATCACAATATGTTACATTACCACCTCGGATTTACTTTGATTAATAACTCAGATCGTACGTAACCTTTTACTCAAAGCTTTGTTAAGTTTTCTCTAGCTGTCACTTAACCTGATACTAAAAATAGGGGTTCAAATGCATAGGCATAGAATTATATGTAGAGAGAAGCGGTGGGATAACAAATTAGAAAAATAAAATGAGCTTTTTGTATGAAACTTTTCAATGATTCTATAAATACAGATTTGATAACATTGTGTGCATTGTTTGGCTGTGAAGCTAACAAATGTTTTTAATGTCCTTACTTATGGATGGATTTGACTTTATACGATGAGGAAATAAAGTAGTACGGGAAAGGGTAAAGTGGATAACAATATAAGATGTGAGGACCCATCAAACTGGACAAGGATGATACCGACCGGGTAACCACTGGCCTAGCCCCTGGATCAAACCCCAACACTTCGTTTTAAATGCTATAAAAGAATATGCACCTTTTTTGTAAGCACTTGCGAATTTGTGTTTTCATCCTGGAATGCTCGCATGTTCATTGGATGCTCAATATACACTCGTTATGCAGTGTCACAGAGAAGGAGAATAATCTATTTTCATGAAGTTTACTGAAAATTTGGACATTGTCTTGTTTCATAGGTAAAATATCATTAACAATTATTGAATAAATCTATCAAATGCTCCCATCTATTATGAATGGCTGAAAGCAGAACTAACACTTTTCAATGCGCATTATTGAGGAATGTGTGCAGCAGATTCTTTCACAAATTGTAGTCGAATATGAATACAGACTATATATCTATAATCATGTGAAAAGTACAGACTACGGTCATTGCAGTGTAAGATATTACAGTTTCAGGATTAAAGAATGTATTTAAAGGGTTTAGATGTTAGTGGGTTGCTAAATTAGGTACAAACTGATCATTGCTGTAAGATATGGCATATGAATTACGCATTTTAATTCCTACGTATTCCGAAATTCCACTGGGACTTTTGCGGGAAAAAGAACATGGATATGAACTTTTCAACGGGCGGTCATGTCGATTCATCGATTTCCTGGTTAAAATTGTGACGCTGTAATGGGGATTTTAACAGCAAGTAAGATGATGACTAGATGAGAACAAGTGTGCATGGGGACACCTGCATTCCACGTCATTCGAAGATGCTCCAAGTTAGTTTTTATCTCTAGTCAATCTTATTCAAATTATAACTTGATTGATTTTACAAAGTTATATGAGGATCATGCATAAATTGACACAAGAAAATTTACTTTGTCATTTAACCATATTCTACTTGTCTTCAGTGGAATATGAAGTGTGTAATCATATGCGTTGCTGCTGGAGATTTATGTTTTTGCATTTTATTCATTTACATCTTATTATAAAATCTTTATCAATCCTAGCACAATTTTGTACACACGAAGTCACCACACCAATAGTTGGTAGGTCATTAGTGTCATTTATTTATTCGGATTGATTTTTTTGTCAAAAGTGAAAAACTCAAAGATGAACATTGAGATTTCTGTTCAGAACATATCGCAATGCAGAGAGACAAAATAAGTTCTTGGAACTTTGATGATCTTCATTTATTCTTTTACTCTTTCAGCAATTGCTTAACATTGATGAAAATCTATTGCATTGTTTAGCACTATACCTGGTTTTTACTAGATGAGTCATCATGTTATTGTTTGTCCATAAAACTGAACAATATATCTTTTGGAAGATTCATATCTGTAGTGATGCAGTATCTAACTCTTTTTTCCATCGACTTTGATGTGCAAAGTTGTAATATTTCCTCGTTCGGTAAAATCACACAGTATGGCGATGTAGATCAACTTAGATATCTCTTTCATTTTTTGATCTTTTGTCTTGTAAAGTTGAGAATTAAGATGTCAAAGTATGATACATCATTACTTTTTGACATTTTCATGATCTTCATCTTTTATGTACGAAGTTTACATACAACTTACATATCCTTTGGATGACAAGAAGGATTTTGGGAAAGAACATTTCACACTACTCAGACACAACTATGATCACTATACTACATGTTAGAGTATTTCTCTATTAACAACATGCAACTGACTTCGAATATAATTTTTGATTTAATTGTTGTCAATTCAAATGTCTACTAATTGTTGTTGAATGATTGTACATGTAATAGTATCAAGGTTGTATTTCACGAAATAGTTAAACCAAGATCTATCACATGTGATATAAGACTTGATATTAAATTACGTATATTTTTTTGAGTTACTTGAAATATCTCAACAATTTGTAATTTTCAAGTTTTTGATTATTATAATTTAACATTGAGATTTGTGGGAAAGACCTACAATGATGATTTTGCACATGTTTGCTATTTCAACATACAGGAGATACTTTGTCCCCTCAAACAAAGATGCAGCGTGAACTTTTTCTCTTTGTTCACGAATTAGTTTGAAAGATTTTACCTTGAAATGCAGATAAATTTCTAATGCTTTATATTCTTGCTGCGGCTCTGAGAATGTAGATTCATACATCTTGTCTTTATCATGCATAAAAAAATCTTGCTTTGCACACCTATTTTCTTTACAAGATGGAATTTACATTCTTCTAAGTTTTCACTATTATCTTGTGACTATGAAACTCCATTAAATACAAAAGAGATTGATGCTAAAAATTACATATTTAAGTATGTTTGTTATGGCATAACAGGATGTTTCACTTCATGTGCAAGTTCGTAGTTGACATGGATTGGTATAGATCTATGATTAATTTTCTATTACAATGTCAATATAAAAGCCATCGCGATTGTAAATCTACGTGTGACATACTTATTTTGTAGGTGAATAAGTACTTAGAATAGTGGATGAAGTGTCTTCTTTAAGTGTGAAAATATATATTATAAATACTTACATTTATGATCTACGAAGAGTTGAGCGGTAGTAGCAAGGGCTACATTATGGGTGTATGTAGTGAAATCACATTATTTTTTGAAATTATCTATCGCAACTTTGAATGATGCTAAACTAGCAAAACAAAAATGATATTAATTCATTATTTTATCATAATTGGATTGATTATTTTCGATTAATTAATTGGATAATTAGTTCAATTTACTACTAAACTAGACACAGGTTAAACATATATACATCAGATTGTGTAGTATATGTTATAAAAAAATAATATTAGATATACATCTCACGGTTCCAATCCATAGCGTATCTATATAGTAAATTGACGCTTATTAAGATGCTCTTTATTAGATAAAAAAGATAGTCCACGAGTTGCAACTCGATATATTTCTGATGGTGATAATATGGGGCATCCTCCTCTCCTTTTTGGTGCATAACTCGCCTCCCTACTGCGAGGTTGTCACATCGTCGTGGTGATTTCCACGACACCCCTCGCCCTGGTCCCGTAACCGTTAACAACCCGAAGATCTATCATGCTGGGGGACAGATACCGTATCCCAGTGGCAACCGATAACAAGCCCACCAAGTCTCGTAGCCGTCGCCCAATCCAATACATACAAGTGGAAAATATCTCGAGCCATCGTACAGCTCACAGTTCTGCCTCGTGGAAGGGAGGGGAGGGAGGGCGACCGGAAAGAAGTGAAAGTGAAAGTAAAAACCTCCTTTCCCGACCCTCTTTTAGGGCCAGCCCGAGCGAAAGCGGAGACGAGGGAGGCCGGGTCGGGCCCGGGCTCCCGGTCCGGCCTCAGAGAGAAGGGCAGGGCAGGGCGAGGGCTGGGGTTGGAATGTCGCCGGCGCCGATGTTGTTGTAGTTCCGGAAGCGGGCGCTGATCTTGAGCCGGACCGCGAGCGACCGTGCCGTGCCCTGGCTGTGGTGTCCCGCTGCCCTCCGACCATGTTGCACAGCCCTCGCCGTTTGATCCAGTGGAAGAAGTGCCCCCCAGGATTAGTGCCTGTGTGCCGGCGGCGTCGGGCTGCTTCTATTCCATCTCGTTGATGCTGCTGCTGCTGCTGCTGCTGCCGCTGCTCCTCCTCCTCCTGCTCCTCCTCTCCTCCTCCTCCTGTTGCTTTGGCCAGTGCTGTCCTGCTGTTTGCTTGTGCTCGTGTCTGACTGAACCTTTAGAATAGCCCGAGACAAGGAGTGAATCGACCGACGAGACGACGACCTTACACTGGTAACGACCTCCATCGTTCTTGCCCTGTGAATTGTAGATTGGTTTGGGATTTCCGATTTCGCTCTCACTGCCTGGCTTGCCCGCTTGCCCGCCTGCGTTCTCGTTTATTTGTGTGCACGATTGGCCCCGGGAGATTGGATTGGATTGGATTGGATGGATTTGCATGGTTGTTGCTGGTTGGAGATTGCGTGAGATTAGTCAATGGCCGACGAGGCGATGAGGATGCTTGTGGGCGAAGATTAGTACTGCGTCAGGGTGATGAGACGGGGCGCACCAGCGGATGTGTTCAGTGTGTGGATTCTGACTGTGGGTTGTGTGGATTCGTGTGTTTTAGGTCGTAGTAAATCCGAGGGAGATCGTCGCCCCCACTTCCAGAGGTCGCCAAGGTCGAGAATCGAAATTTGACTCGAGGAGACGAGACCTAGAAATACTCGATCTTTTCGGGACGGTGGAAGTGAAGACGGGGGGATCAGGTACAGACGGTGGACAGGGTGTGTGTGCAGTTTTCCATCAAGGAATCCCGTATCAAGGTGTAGCATTGAGTGAAGTTTGTTCTTAGCTTTCCGCTGTCGTTGCTCTGTACACAGGCAGCTCCTCTGTCGTCTCCGCTTCCGCACGTAGCCAGGCACTACTGCTAAGAGCCAAGGGGGCGGGAAAGCACGATGTCGGACGGAGGGGAAACCGATAAGAACATAGAAATATGGAAGATAAAGAAACTTATCAAAGCTTTGGAATCAGCCCGAGGAAACGGCACATCCATGATCTCTCTCATTATGCCTCCACGTGATCAAATCTCTCGTGTCACGAAGATGCTCGGAGACGAATTCGGAACTGCGTCGAACATCAAGAGTCGTGTGAATCGGCAGTCTGTTCTTGGAGCCATCACTTCCGCCCAACAGAGGCTGAAGCTTTACAACAAGGTTCCTCCGAATGGATTGGTGCTGTACACGGGTACTATAGTGACGGACGACGGAAAAGAGAAGAAGGTGACGATAGACTTCGAACCTTTCAAACCTATCAACGCATCTCTGTATTTGTGTGACAATAAGTTTCATACGGAGGCTCTGAATGAGTTGTTGGAGTCCGACGACAAGTTCGGATTTATTGTCATGGACGGTAACGGAACCCTTTTTGGTACTCTGAGTGGGAATACGCGTGAAGTTCTTCACAAGTTTACTGTGGACTTGCCGAAGAAGCACGGTCGTGGAGGTCAGTCAGCTCTTCGTTTTGCACGGCTGCGAATGGAAAAGAGGCACAATTACGTCAGGAAAACCGCGGAACTTGCAACCCAGTTTTTCGTGAATCCAGCAACTAGTCAGCCGAACGTCGCTGGCCTTATCTTGGCCGGTTCTGCTGATTTCAAGACCGAGTTGAGTCAGTCTGACATGTTCGATCCACGACTGCAAGCGAAAGTGCTGAATGTTGTAGATGTTTCTTATGGAGGGGAGAACGGTTTCAGTCAAGCCATCGAACTGTCGGCGGAGATTCTGTCGAATGTGAAATTTATTCAGGAGAAGCGGTTGATAGGGAAGTATTTTGAGGAAATCAGTCAAGATACTGGAAAGTACGTCTTTGGAATCGAAGATACTCTGAAGGCGCTAGAAATGGGAGCAGTCGAGACTTTGATTGTGTGGGAGAGCTTAGAGGTGAACCGATACACTTTGAAAAATACGACAACCGCGGAGATTGTGATTAAGCATTTGAACAAGGACCAGGAAGCGGATCAAAGCAACTTCAGGGATCAGGAGACACAAGCCGAGCTAGAAGTCCAAGAGAAGACTTCTCTACTTGAGTGGTTTGCGAACGAATACAAGAGGTTTGGTTGCACACTGGAGTTTGTGACCAACAAGTCGCAGGAAGGTTCACAGTTTTGTAGAGGATTTGGAGGAATAGGAGGCATTCTGCGCTACCAACTCGATATGCGCACCTTTGATGAGCTGTCAGACGACGATGGAGCCTACGACGATTCTGACTAAAGTTGGAGCCAACGTTTCCAGTTGGACGTGCTTTTATTTAATCCTTGCTCGAGCCTCTCGAGGTTAGCTCCTCTACCGCAATTTCTTCCTGATTGAGACTCTCAAGTAACATCCGAATTGCTCCTTCAAGACAGCGATGATTCAAAAAATACCCCCGTGACTGTAGTACTGTACCCATTTTTGCCCTAATTTCTCTGCTGCGCTCCTAGATCCACAACTGTGTCACGATTGACTGAAGGCTTTGGTGTGCAACCAGTGAGACAGTTGCAGTTTTCCTCACCCTTATCCCTTATTTATTTCAGTAGCACTCCCGTTCGTTGTAAAGTCTGCAACGGGGGCAGTAGGTAGTCTGCGCGATTTTAGGGTTCACAGCCTTCAGCAGGGTTGTAACTTTGAAGTTTAGGTGGTCTTTGACCGTTGTTATCTGTCAAGTCAATGCAATTTTCCCGGTATTGCAACGCGATTGTAAAGTTAATATGAAGTTAGCACGAGTCTTCCGATTGATCTGGAAGTAGTCCTTGTTACTTGAGGGGTTCGTTTAGTTGTCGCGGAGAGTGTAGGAAAACTCTTGAAAAGGAACTGTTGGATTTAGCGGTTGCTAACTGTCGCGGTAGTGACTGAGCAGTTTATTCTTCATTTACTTGTTGGAAAACGAAAGTTTACTGATTGGTCATTCATCATGGCCGTCTGTGTCAGTGTGAAGTCATTCATGAAAAGAAGAATGTTTGAATTTGCCAATCGGTTGACAATTTAGATCTCGAACAGCTGTTGATTGGCTGCTCTGACTTAGAGAAGATCGTAAGGACACTGACGATTCTTCGAAATTCTTCCTTCAAACCGCGGTTCGAGAGGAATGCATATGGATCGTGTTGATGATTTCCTGATTTGCAAAGTGCTCTTCATTGCCCCATGATTTGTCATTGATGCATGCGTAGGGAGATCAAATACTCTACACGGACACGCATTGTTTGAGTTAACAATATTATGTTTTCCTAATTATGATACTTGATCTGAATTGCTCTTGTCCGGAATCTGTAGACTATCGTTCTGGACATGTGTAGGCAAGATGAAGCCTCTTGTGTAAGGACATTGCGAAAGAAACAATGTCAGTTCCAAAATACCAGTTTTTTGTTGGTCTTAACTGCTTAATACCACTCTACAAGTCTTGTTATATTTTATGAATGATTTTCTAACGAGGTCATAGGGTGTTCTCTCGTATGGAGGGAGAGATTCCATGGTTGTTTCGTAGTAACTTGTGTTAGGATTTCTTTTGAATCGTTAAACTTTTCTGTCAATAGGCGTGTATGCCGCAATCTTTAATCATTACACGATATGATATTCGTATTTTGATACGAGTGCCAGAAGACGGAGAACAGTATGTTCTACATTTTTTGGCTACATTTTCTGTGATAAATCTACGATATACAAATGTCTATGTCTATACCAGAAAGATGGCAATGTATCTGGAAGCAGTCAACTGAGATATTTAGTCTGGAAGTCAACAGATTAGGTGCGAGACTTGCTACTAAAATGATGGTTGTTCAGATGGCTAGACTCCAGAATCTCCGTTTAGCCCGACGGTGAAAAAGTATTGTTAATTTCTGTAGTGGCACGTCAGAGGCTAGCCGAGGACGATGTTATTCCGCTTGTCTATCACTCTGTGCGAAAGACGATTGCTCTTTTGAAACTGTTACAATGTAAGAAATAAAACTCGATCATTTTACAGAACCACTCTGTTTTCCTTGCAGGATATACTGCTCCTTTCCTGGTATATACACAGATTTCGTACATCTTCAGAAAAGTAGGCATTGGTTATTTCTTGCAGCTCAGCTTAGTTTTACCGTTAGGTTACTGGACCGCAGCTGAGCCAGAGCTGTGTTCTATCCTATGAGAAGCTTTACTTTCGGATATTGTATCTTCGATAGACGATGTGATTGAGCGAAAGGCATGTGATCCTAGATTAATGTCCGAATGAACTCGTCTTGTTTGAAGACCTATTTAACTGGCCACAAGTTACGATTGTTTAACGAAAATGATGAACGGAATAACGATATTCATGCTCACGGGTTTATCATGTTTCACTTATTCATGTATGGGTTTATCTCTTAACAGTTAGTAAGTTCTAGTTGACGGTTACACCTGAATATTTTTCAGAAATTGGAAGGTGGTCAGATTATCTGTTTATGAATAACTGAATGGGGTCTCAAAATAGTTTCTCACAGTGTCAGGTCAAAGATGGGTAATATAATGAGTGATTAGACTGCTAACATTCTGCCTTACCAAACAGCTGTATTGGCGAGACACTCAAGGAGGGTGGCCGTCGTCTCCAACATGCAAGCTGGATTCCTACCGAATGTTTCATGTCTTAGCTGCAGTAAGTGGACACTGTGGGTAGTGCCATGTTCTGAAATGTCTTTGACCACACTGGGTGTACTAGAGTCTTCGAACTACCTTATAATGATATGGTTCTTTAGGTCTTGGCTCCTTGGTCCAGAGTGATCAGCTCTTCGGACAGAGCTTTTGTTCCTCTGTAGAGTGAGAATTCTAGATAGGGTTCGAATCGGGATTTTACTAAAACCCTCCAGTGGGTGTTCCTTTGATATGTCTATTTCTTTGCCCATCGCAGTCTGAGTTTGCATGAGTCAAACGTTTGAAGACGAGTGCACTTTGTCTTGAGTAAACGATCCCAACATTTCTTGTACGGGTAATTGAGCCAGATATTCAAGTTACCGTGTCCTCTGGATATCATTCCATATTTGTCTCCTTAAACCGTTAGCATCAGTGGCAAATGTATGTTGTACGAGTGTGAACCCAATAGAACACGTTTTCATGTTTGACGCGGAGTGACTTGGACGAATATGGACGGAAGGAATGATAACTGCATCGGGATTTGTTCTCTTCTATCGTATGCCTTGAAGAGGGATGTGTATCAAATTCAATTTTCGGAATGTCCAATGGTGGCCTGACTTGCACTAACCGTGAAGTTACCATGAAGTAGTAAAAGTCTGTAGTATGTTCGAGATTATGTTGTAGGTAAGCCAAACCGAGTGGGAAAGTGTTACCTAAATCGTAGTCTTTGCTTTCGCTTGTGATTCTGAGCGGCCTTGACTTCGCTTTCTTTCGGATGGTGTTTGCAATCAATTATATTATATAAACTAAAGCCCTGTTTTCTGATTGTGAAAAACTTATTGTTGCTGTTATTACCGTCGGGCACTTCTGATTTTGGTGTTAGACGAAAGTGCCATAGAGAAGGAAGAACCCCGTGAGTCTATTCTGGAGACGCGTAAGTAAATCGGATACCATTTTATGGCGGTTGTAATGTGAGTAAAATACCAGATAAACGTCATGGCAGTTATCAGAGTGAACTTTTCCCATCAATCAGAAGCGCATATAATAATTCATTCAAGAAAATGTCAAATTAGCTTCATCAACTTGCATGAGATCAAATTTCGTGACTGGTTGTGTACATGGTTGGCTTTTGGTGTTCTTGTGTGACTTTTGTTACCAACTGGAAATGAATCGAGCAAATGGTTATGTACTGAGATTCCTCTCCGTTTAAGAGTGTAAGCACATCTAATTGACAAACTGAGGTTTGTTTACACACTGCTCGAATATGTCGAGTGCAGACCCAACGGGGTGGAATAATGAACTGATTAATCGTCCCTGTTTCCTTTATCTCTCAATCTAGCTTACTCTCACTTGGGTAGTCAAAACAAATTTCTGATTATATTTTGATCGATTCGTTCACGTGAGTTCTTTGAATCAACAGATGTCATGAGGTTAGATGGTTTCTTCAGTCCGGTATGCGTCATTCAGTCCCTCGAGCTTGAGAACATCTTGTTCATAAAGGAGCCAAGGATACGGTTTTTTTATCATAACATAAATGCACTTCATTCGATGAAGGATTATATCAAAACAAGGAATAGTTTAACCTCGCGACTAGAACGATTGAATCACAAAATTAAGTTGTTCTAGTAACTTCTTAACTATCTAACTGTAGTTAATACGGTAAAGTCAACAGACAACATCTGTCTATTGATCGACATGTACACATGACTTGGGACAATTTGGAAAATTTTGAAATTTTCAGTAAATGGATAGAGATCTATGGGGAGATACCCATATGTAACTAAGAAAGCTGCGTATAGATGTAAGATCCGGACAGAGCATTGATGGGAAACTTTTACTTATAGGAAACGCATACAGGTATGCTCCATTATATATGGAATGCAAAGAGATGGGTAGTTAAACTTTGTTAGATTTATTTTAATTTTTCCAATCTCAATTCAGTCTTAATTGTGTTACAAAAAATACAAAGATTAAAAATAAATGAAAGAATTAGAATCTACATATAAATTGAGAAGATTTTTTTTTTTTTTAAGTACTATGTTACTAAAACAGATACTATCAATAGCAGAAAAAATCAAATAAGATGTTATAAATAACATATTTGTTTACAAGTTTATTTGATAAATAGAATTTTAATATATTTAATTAACTGTAAAATTATATTTATTCACATAAAAATTACAAAGAATATTCATTTAATATATTTTGAATTGTAAAATTTTGAATAACTAAATTTAATAATTGTACATGCTTTTGATGTGAAATCAATGGAAATTAACAAGTAAAGAAAAAAACCAAAAGATATGATTTAAGATTAGGAAATTCATAAGGTATGTTTTCATATAAGATTATATTCACTTTCATATAAATTTTGAAAAATATAAATTTAAAATATTAATAGGAAGAATTATATATAAATTTATAAACACAAAACACGTGAATATACATACTTCTTATGAATAGAAATATGTAGAGAAATCTTTATAATCAATTTCAAATTATAATATGATTAATTTTATATAAAATATTAAAAACAACCAGATCCAAAAATTAATTATATGCTGGCTAGTTAGTCTAGTCGGGTGTCTAAATTACCTAAATTTAATTGCACCAGAAGAACTCAGTTTAAGGTTCTAAACCCCGACCAAGTGTTTTGCATGACTCCAATTCAACCATGTATGACCCAATATAAATACGATCGCAACTGCTTATATTCAACCTTGGAATGTGGAATTTGTCGTGAACAGCAAACAGTTCTTAATCATTGGGGACCACATTAACCTGATCTTCAAAAATCACCTATTTCCGTTGACTGCTTACCATATTTATAATAATTTCTCTAGGGATTTAAGAAAGTGTAGATACCAAACTCAAACGTTCACCATAATAACAAAATTCGTAGAGCAATATTTTTAAAACATGAGTCTATGGTACTGAAAGACAAAAGCTTAACATATTCACAATCTAACTGATTTCATTGAGATAAAGACAACTATAATTTTTATTATAACAATTCTATGAGCAGCGTTTCAGTATAGCCAATAGTCTGCTCGTCTCCCAGTTCACTTCTTTCATCAGAAGCATTGTCATCGGACAGATGCAGTTACGTCAAACATAGGAGATTGGATGACAAGATCTATTTGTCCAAAATACTCAGTACTAATGGAAAAAACTAATGTAACAATAGAAGCTATCAGCTTCTCACTCTTCGATCTCTAGTCTAACTAACTGTCCAGAGCTACAATATGGCTTAAAGTGACTTTCTGGTTCGCAATTCGATGGATACATCATGAAATGGATCCATATTTATCTCGTTTCTGGATAATGTAATCATCAAGAAAGAAGTTAACGCAACAAAAGGTTACTCGTTAAGATGAACACGACAATTGAACATAGGTTGTGGAAGAGCAATAACTTCTATTTATCTCATTTAAATCTTCAGTGAACTCCCGATGGAGACAAAAAACATATCATCTTTACGTTGAAAGCTCACCTTCAACGCTTCTTCCACGATGACTTTGAATTTCTCAACTTCCCACTGAGTATCGTAGGAAACTCGCAGTCTGGAAGGTCCCATAAGTAAATCATCGCTTCTGGGTAATCCCGCTCCTAACGCTGTTGCCCAACACCAGATCAACACGAAATGTGGCTTGGCGACCTGCTAGTTGTCTGCTTTCTGGATTTTCTTTAAAGATGAATAATTTTCTGTGGTGTGACCGTATCTAATCGATTAGCGAACCTTCTCCGTCCAATTCATCGCTATGAACATGATGGTCTCTTATCTCGGAAGAATATTAACAAATGAATAAACGAAATTTGTAAGTGATGATTTTCCTGACGGAGAGATACCTTGTATACTCAACGCCCATGATTGCTTCATACCAACCATGCTTTATTAACACTCTGCGGCATGAGTGTTGATAGAATATCCAAGTGAAGGACTTGCAACGAGAAATCATTCCCCATGATATTCAGTTAGTACTCCTTCTTAGTTTAATCTTTTCATTTTTGCAATGGTCGAGTTTCTTCGCGTGCAACAACAGAGTATAGTACAGAGTTAAACTTCCCCATAGTGATGTAAAACCCTAGCATCAATATATGTCACCTTGAGTATAACCTCCCAATGGTAACATACATTGATGATGGCTGAGACCACCTGGGACACTGACATCACCACGAAAGTCGTGCTACACAGCAGACCTGCAGTTTACGCAACTTCAGAGGCCATCTGCAGGTTCGTCTCGCACCCTCAGCACTTCCTTGGCCTTGAATAAGCTGTGCATCACCACCTGGGACAACGACATCACCACAAAAAACGCACTATACTGCAGTTTACGCAACTTCTCAGGCCATCATCAGACACTCGAAACGAATCTCGAGTGTCTGTCGGGAAGTTCTGTCAGGCCATCTGCAGGTTCGTCTCCAGTGTCTGTACAGAAGTTTTCTCAGGCCATCTGCAGGTTGATCACATTCCCCATGATATTCAGCAAACGGGGTCGTGCATCCTTTGAAAATTTATGCTCCACGTAAAGAGTGTCTTCAACTCAACGTCCACACGCAGTCCAATTGCAAAAGCATCTGTGCTTCGAAACTACCACATTTATACACGTGACAGTTCTGAGCCTGCTGGCGATTTAAACTGAGCTGAGAACCCGGCTATGAAAAAGCATGTTATCATGGTGACGCACGGAGAATAAGGAACGAAATACCCTGATAACACCTCAACAATATATCATAGGAGAGATTTGTGCAGAGGTTTTGTTTTACGGGTCAGATGCATTCGAACTAAAGTTACGCCTCCTAAGGAATCTCGTGAAATCTTCCGCTAATACAAAGAAGCGCCAGAAGCAGATTCACGTGAGCTACAAATTTCTGAGCTTCACAGATCGGATATTGTGCATGAAATCTAGGAAAAGCATTTTCTTCAGTTTATATTGCTCTCTCAAATGGAACACGGATACTACTTGAAAATGACAACACCGAATACAATTTTTAGTTCCGGTCCATCATATATTTGTTGGACCTTCATCGTGGGACAACAGAAGAATCAGTCAGTGACATGTGTGGAAGTTCGTGACTACCCTCACGTGTCAAGGGAGGGGTTTTCATCATAGTGAGACTTCCAACGAGACAATTTGAACACTCTACCCTCAAAAAGTCATCTTGATAGTTTAGCTGAACACTGTGAAACATGACTGTGAGATTAACATTATGGCAAAGATTATAAAATACTTCTTCTTGTGAAAACTGCAAGGAAGAATTTGCAGAGGTGTATATTGCATGAGGGTCTAAGCATATGCTTGTCAATTGCATAGTGGCATTCTAACCTCTTCAAAATCCTAACATGTCAAAATTCCACTACGAAGGCCTTTATTCATGCACTTCTCGCACACCCATGCATGCCCACCTTTTTCTGAACTCACGTATTTCACCTGATACAACTTGAAGATTCCAGAATAGCGATTTTGAAGCTGAGGCGCAAGAGTTTGCTGAATCCTCAACCATGCTTCCTGCAGCTCCTTGCTTTCCCCACCTTTTAGAAATGCTCTATGATCATCATCGCTGATACCGTCCAACTGAACAATATCAGATTTGAAATCTTCCCAATCCGGAATCGCTTGGCCCAAATTGAGGGTCTTATCCAGTCCAGCCTTCACAGCATAATACATGACTTTGTATGAGATTTCAATAGTTTTCCGAATCAACGAGCTATTCTCCCGATCCAAGCGTATCTTCAAACCTTCTTGATCTTTGACAATATGAAATCCAATCACTGACTCACACATCAATTGTAACCGAACGGCTGTCCCGTTATGCAGAACAACACTCATTCTATAAAAAATGCCAACATCATTTGTCATGTAAGGTCGCTTGGGGGTTCTAGCTTGCTCAAGCGAATGAGAATACTGAATGATACGGTCCACTTTAGACACAAAGTCGCTCATAGTTGACAGCAATTCTTGGTGCAGAGAGAGTATCTGTCCCATCTTCATCTCCAATCTCTGCACAATGCTCTGCACTGATCTCAACCTCTCATCTAAACCATCAACCTTTTGTACTAGCTTTTCTGCTAGTTGGTCGATCTTCAACAAAACAAGTAGGGTCGAACGATTCTCCACACTTGTGCTGGCCCGACTCAAGCACCTGGATGTAGGTGGTTTGCAGTCTTTCATTTGGAGAAAATTCGAGTCGCTAACCATGTATTCAGCTTCAAGATTTGACTGAGCCAAATCATTCTCCACGCTAATTAAACCTTCCTGCAATTTCTTCAATTCTTCAATTTGTTCTTGTCGAATTTCATTCACTGCTTCCACTTCGCTCTCCCACAATAAATCCCTAGCTCGTTCGGATCTTCCGCCTGTGTGCCTTTCAATCGGAGGCCAACAATACTCATAGTGTAGCAACTCTTCCAACTGCGACGTTTCCAACGGCATTTCCTCAAGTTTGTCATTGATGCTACGAATGAAGTCCAATTTTAGCTTCTCAATCAGAATGGCTCCTCTGAGATGACTCGGAATCAGCGTCTCCACGCAAAATGTTTGGATCACACCTAGCACTAACGCCACCCCAGGACAACCTTTCGGTGATGCGCAAAATGATATCAACTCCTGGACGATATGCTTCATCACATACTTAGTAGCCACCTCCCTTGACTTATGCCTCGAGCATAACATCAGAACATCTACGTATTTGTGGGACTTTTTGCTCTTAACGTGCTCAACATAGATCTAATGTCCATCAAGGAAAAGTCAGAGATAATGTCGAGAGCAAGTCACATTCTCCTCGGAAATATGCATCTCGGATATCAACTTGCGTCTCATGAACATCTACAATCATACAAAAGTTTGTAAATCCTTAGTGAGACATTCGAATAATTTGTTACAATAAATAGAATGGGAACAATCTCTTCATCATATGCTAATTACAATCAGAACTTGACGCAAAGAATTATTTCACTGTGTATGTGAAATCATGATTCAACCTCACATGGAAGCGCGGAAAAAATGCAGCAGTTAGTGACATTGTTCTTTCATCTTGGCATTGAATCCGAATGCCGACAAATTGTGAAGTCTCATACAGATTTTCCCAATACATCAACTCCACGTGCGCCCCTTCTTGATGCTTCTATTCTTCCTTGCTTGCATGCTCGGGGATGAACGAAGGAATAAAATACTGAGAAGTATCTTCGAGCTTGAAACACAAATCTAAGTTGACAAGGATGTTTTCAACCTCCTCTCTGTTCACACCTCTCTGTCGATGTGGTTGTTTTTTCAGAAACTCTTCTATCAACCTAGCAAAGACACTATGACTCACAAATCCGTCCTTGCTTGTGTATGAGCTACTCCTAGAATACTGCAACTCTTGAACTTGAAATTGTTGACCTATAGCTATGAGCTCACCCAAGAAGGTATTGGTAAGCCAGTTGGGATTAACAATGATGTAGTCAAGGTTGGGAATGTATATGATGGATCCAACATCATTCAAATATGATATAGTGGACTCCATTATCTTTGAATGATCACCAGAGTGAGCAGAAGATGATGGAATATATTGTGTCAAGATGGGAGCACAGAAATCACGAAACTTGTCGGATGACCATATAGGGCAATTTCTATGCTCCTTGGTGCTTGTAACCTTTTGGTGAGTTTGTCAACTATGGAGTGAGCCCAACTCAGAGAGTTGTATGTGGCTTTATCCTTGTGAGAAATCACAATAAAAACTTGGGGAAGATCACTTCCTGTGACCATAGTGCTAGATGTGATGAAACTCAACTAGTCCTCCAACTCCAGACTCTTGTTCTAAAACAAGAGTCTGGTTTGTTTGAAGATGTTTCCTCACAGAAAGGATTATACACAAAAAGAAAAAGACAGAAGCTGTTGGTTTGAGTAAAAAGCACATTTTGAAGGGTACGAAAAATCCATTGTCCCGCAAGATCCCAAACTGAGATTTGCATTTTGTCATTGTTTTGCAATAACTCCACTTCAATGCCTGTTGTCCTCCCCAATGTGTTCCATTTATTGCGTAGACTGCGAATTTCAAGCCAGCTTTTGCCTTGATTTATCCTCATCAAGGTTTTGCGCAATTGAGTTTTGCCTGCACGTTAGAAAAAAGAATCACAAAATATACAACTTGTTATTAACGATATCTTCTCAGAGGCTTTGATATGATATTCTTTAGATACAATATGACATGATATTATTCTTAATATGTGAAGATAATCTTGATTAAAAAATGTAGAAATCACCAAAATAATTGAAGTTATATAATCAATGATTTACACATTTTAACTTCTTAGTTCTTTTACTATTTATGTACACACATCAATATATCTATTTTAGAATAACATTTTTTGTGTCAACCTTAGTTTTATGAAAGTAGTTTGCTTACGTTTATTTCTACGCATTGGAATGCGTAAATTCTCACTTTTTCCCTAAATGGAATTTATAGAGCATTTTACCTGCTCTAGGAGAGCCGCATAAGAAGAGTCGACCAGCTTTTGCATCTCCAAATGTTAAGTTGGCCTCTCTAAACAAGTGCATGTAGCTGGCCCGCTTCTCGTTCTGCTTTAGTGCGTCTTGAATCTGCGCCGCCTTTCCGTCCTTTGCCCATGATGTTCGTGAGACGTCTATTGTCTGGAGAGCCAAGTTCACTTGCAGTACCGCCATCAGGTCCCTGAACGCCTCCTCGTCGAGTTCTGAGTCAGATAAATCCAAGTGAGTCAGGAGGTTCCCCCGCATGCACCCAAGCAGGTACCCCCATACTCCCTTCCGGAGATCTTTGCTTCGAACAGAAAATTCCAGTCTCTTCAGGACTGAAGTTTCTCCTGTTTTCCCATTCATACTGAAATACATCATTTTTTCATTATGAAAAATTGCTATACTCACAGATTTTAGAGATTTGATTTCTCCGCGCAGTACCCTACCTAGAAGGGCTAATGATAACATCAAGTAAAAGTCAAAGTTACCCGAAGGTAGGAGGAGATCAAGCTCCACAATGGGGTCCTTGACATCAGAGCTAGCAGAAGAAGCAAGAGCTTCTATTGACTTCCATTGATCTCCACCGCAGAAGTTAAACTTAGCAAGTATAGTTGTTGCTATAGCATTGTCACGTATGACTTCGCCGAGCTGGTGCCATTCCTCAGGACTCATCTCCAAGACGTTCAACTCCATTTCCTTCAATGATGGGTTGCAAGTAAGAAGTTTTCCTATACAGTCTCCGAGTCCTCTCCAATGCGTTAGCCGAAGACGTTCAACGGATCGGTTGCCATCATCTCCGGCCAAGGCTTTCAGCAACAAGGCCGCTCCCCACAAGTCCGGTTCTTGTGGGGACAGTCCACACAAGGCCTGTTCTTGTGGGGACATGACTCTCCACAAGTCCCCTCCCCACCCACACCCCAACTTCAATTCTTTCAAAGACGACCTCTTAATCAAAGCATGGGATAGGATTCCAACGGTCTCGTCCTCCATTTGGTGCCATTTGGAGAGTAATTCCAACGTTTCTAATAGAGGAGCACTGTTGATCATGTCAGCCACATGCTTCACCACATTCGTGTCATCCCACGAGCAGTTTAGGTGTAAAGACTGGAGTTTAGAATTCGAATTTCCTTGCAATCCTGAGGCAAGATTCAAGATACATCTGGCACTCAAGTAGCAAGAGATCAATTTCAATTCTGTTACGCTAGAGGTACTCAGAATTTTCCCCAGCTCTAAATACCAACTCTCCACTTCCGCCTCTGAATCCCTCCGTCTCACAGCTCTAACCTCTATCGTTCGTAGAACGGTGCTATACCTGAATCCTTTCAAAACTACCTTCCATTCGCTATCCGTCAGCCTCGATATATCTCCCTCACAGATACAGTACACGCTCAGAATCTTAAGGGTGTTGCACCTGGCGATTGCCTCCAGCACTTGAAGGCGCACTTGGCTTCTCCACCCTGTGATCGTCGAGAGCGATTCACGCTTCGGGAAAAACTCCAGAAATTTTGGCCCGCTTAAATCGGGAAGCGCCGTTATAGGCTCGCCTTCTCCTTCCAGACGCCGTATAAGGTCCTGGATGGCGGAGGGAAGCTCCTGTTCCTCGTCTGCGGAGTCCATTCCCCGTGTCGTAAGTTCAGCAGCGTCACTGACGATTGACCCACCTGCACCTTCCATCCTCTCGGAGTCCATTCCCCGTGTCGTAAGTTCAGCAGCGTCACTAACGATTGACCCACCTGCACCTTCCATCCTCTCGGAGTCCATTCCCCGTGTCGTAAGTTCAGCAGCGTCACTGACGATTGACCCACCTGCACCTTCCATCCTCTCCTCCACTCTCACAGAGTAAGATGCTGCTTGGTCTGCGCGGGCGAAGTGTAACTGGACTTACAGGAGGCCCTCTCCTCGATCCGAAAGCTGGGCTCTCCCGAAGAAAACTGAATGAGTGCTGGGGATGAGACTTCTTGCACTCTGAATGATTAACTACACAAATATAACACCAAGCTCTGCCGATAAACGGATGTATGAAGAGTAATCACCCCGAAACTTAGGGAGATTGTGAAAAGTTGAATCACGAGGCTGCTCGAGCTCAAAACAAGGGATGGGTATCAAAATGAACGCAGAATACCAGGATTCTGGTTCTGAGCTAGATCCTAGACCGTGTGGCAAAGTGGACTTCACTTCTCTCGAGAATCCTGTGATGTGAAATGGTGAGGGAACTGAGTGGAGAAGATGATAGCTCTGCAGGTGGATCTGAAATCCAAAAGAAAAGTTCTTAGCAAAGATAGGCGATGTGCAAGCAGAATGTCATGGATTGAATGATATTGCAGATATCTCAGATGTGACTAACCCTGAGTTGTGTAAAAACTGGACGTACAATTGTACTGGGAGACTGCGAATCTAGATGCATCAAGACCAACGGGAAGACAGACGCTACGATGGCTAGCGCGGGGAAAAAACATGCAACTTCTTCAATCAGATCTTGTCATTGCATCTTGTGAGCGATAAAGGTAATGAAAACATTTGAACACAGAAATCGTGTTCCTTCATACTCTGTGATTTGGAACATGGTGTTAGAAGGTCAGAGTGGATCTTGACTTTGTTGTGCAAGCGAAGAGAAAACGTGGGTGAATGCGTCAGTGTGATGATATACTCGATGTCGTCACACTGACAACTGAAATTACAAGATTCTTCTGTACTACTGTAATTCATTTATCTAGGACGTTTGATCTTTTCGAGCAAGTGGATGTATTCTGACAGCTGAGTGACACATGCGTAGTCAGCTTGGTGTAATAAGCATGTTACTTTTTTTTATTTTTACTTTGAAGACCATTACAGTTGTCTACATACATATCTGTAAATAACGTGTAGGTTCAGAAGAAACTGATAAGATTTCTTATGATTTACTAAACATGATATCTAAGAACTGTGTACAGAGCATACCAGTACTCGAGGTTCTCAACTGCTGGTATGATTGTTATTTTACCTCAACAGTCAAGCATGTGAATGCATGCACAGTCTGGAGTCCAATGGTGAACATGTAAAAGAACTTTTTTGAAGTTACAGTTGGTGCAATTATTGCTTTCACATAGTCCCTTCAATCTCTCATTCTATGAAATAATAAAATACCCTTTTGCTGCACAAGCATACACGTGGAAAATAGGTTGCATTCACTCTGATGATCCAAGCTCTATACCACATAACCATTGGAGTTTACTCTTAGTGAAACGTATTCTTGAAACTCACAACAGTATTCTTTGATAATCAGTGCTCAAGTTGTTAGATATCTTAAATTTTTTCGGACCCCAACTGGAAATTGTTAAGCATATTATTTTTCACTCCAGACTTTTTTTGAACTATTTCAAAAATGTATTTCTTCAAGAAACTATTCACGTGAGTTCATCTATTTAGGAACTCTTTCTATTAACTGATGATGATTTATTTGATTTTCAAACAAATTACAAAAGTTTTTTTTGTATATATATCTTGTTTCATTTTTTCCTGGTTGAAATTGGAAATTTTTATAAATTTTATCTATTCTTTTCCATCACTTCTTTCATTAACTTGTGATTTTAATCAGAAGATTCCAAAATTTTTATCACTTTCTTTTAAATTCAAAATTAATGAGAAACTAACATTTTTTCATACTTTTGTACTGTTTCCTATGATGATGCACTTGTGGTTTGAGTCAAAATATTATTCAATTTCATTTACGTTGGGCCAAATAAATTTCAAACATTGTCTGATGGTTCATTGCATTTGATTTCATTAATTTTATGATTTTCTTTTAAAATAAATGTGAGTGAAGTTATGTATTTTTTACATTCAAAACTAACAATTATAATCATCTTTGATGATTTAAGTTTGTTTTTTAATTGATTCTTTAGTTTTGGATGTTATTAATGTCAGTTGAACTGAACTCTAGTTCAAAATTGAACTTCCAACTCTCCCTGTAAACTCTCTCCATCTTCACTCTAATAGAAAAATGATATTTTACATGTTATGCTGCTTTGTATATCCCTTTGTCATAACGATTTTGAAAAATTTCATCTCATATATAATTCATTCATATCAAATGATGTCTCCATGACTTGAATCACAAGAATATAACCTAAATAAGACAATAATCTAACGTTGAGATTAAAGAATCACAAAAGTTTTTTTTAATGTTGGTGTACACTTGAAATATAAAGACTCATGGGAAGACAGACCCTTCGATGATAAGTGTGGGGAAAAAGCATGCACAGTCTTCAATCAGATCTCGTCACTGAATAGTGTGAGCGATCAAGGTAGCGACAAAATTCTAACTCAAAAAGCGTGTTCCTCCCTACTCTGTGATTGGACAATGGTGTTAGAAGGTCAGAAAAGATGTTGACTTTGTTGTGCAAGCTAACATGATACGTGAGTCACACTGAGTGCATCAGTGTGACGATACACTCGACAACAACAACGTAGATTTCAAAGTTCATCTTCTTTGTATCTATTCAATCAAGTGGATGTATTTGGACAACTGAGTGGCACATGCGCTGTCAGCCTGTTTGACAAAGCCTCTTGTGCTTTATTTTATTTCTTTTCATATCGGTGTAGCACTGTAGTCTATAACTCTACTGTAGTAGTCTCACTTCACATAACTTGTAGGTTCAGAACAAATTGGTAAGCTATTTGGAAGTTTACTAAACATGATGTTGAAGAACTTTGAACAGAGTAGAAGCGCAATCGACGTTCTCGATTGCTGATATAATTTCTCTTCTAGCTCAACCGTCAAGCATGTGAACTCATGCACAGTTCCAGTTTCAGAGTCTGGAGTTCTTTACACCTCAAATATGAAACTGAAATCGAATTTCGTCCGTGCTACGAGCACTCTTGCTTGTTTATCGCGTCGTATAGAAGTTGATAGAACCAGCATGCTACTTCCTGAGGTCAACGTCAAACCTCTCAAGAAGTTACATTTTTCAAAGTTGCTTGCACGTTAAGAGAAACTGTGCTGTATACATGACTTAAGAAATAATTCTGATGCTAAATGCTAGATAACAGCGATTCGTGACTTCAGATGAAGATCTGGTGTAATCGTACATGTAAACTCAAATATTTGATATATTTACTGTAATGAAACAAGTCATACGGCCGATTTTGCAGTCGTCTGCTCATATCATAAATCCAAACATGTCATATGAAAAAAATAAAGCGCATTGCTCAAATGATAAAATCGTTGAAACGAAAACATGTTAGTTCATCTCTTTGTCTCTTTCTTCTGTTTAAAGCATATTCAAATATAATTTTGTTACAATATTTAAAATTGTGATTACCTTTCTATTTGATGTGTAGTCTAATTAGCATCCTTATTTGATGATACGTACCATCTCAAAATGTTTAACTCATAAAAATATCTAAAGAATTGTTTCAAAGAGTACATTATTCAATAAAAGTGAAAGTATTACATTATTCTTACTAAATCTTATCTGCTTCAGAGATTTTGACTGGTCCGTCTTTGAGTGTTACACGAAGTGTTGTATTTGAAACTACAAACCGTTCCCGAATCTTCACCACATTTTTTTGCTTTGACTTTCCGGGTGTCCATGGCGGACCCACTGATTTGATAATGTTCCTGATCATACAAGAGATTATAGGAGCCAGAAATTATTATTTATTCCAATGAAGATCCGTGACTTGAAGAAATTGGGCTCCAAACCTAGTTTCATCAAGTCATTGGGTTTTCGCAAGGGACGATGTTGCGAAAGCATTGATCGCACTCGTCAACCTAGTGATGAACGATTCGTAGCTATGTTGCTAAAGTCAATTTATAGGTTATGATGGTATCACTTTATTACCATGTATCCTGTACCTGCTAGGGCCCATGTTTATGTCAAACTAATCTGAAACCTGTGAAAGTAGGATTACGCTACAAGTGTTCTTGTCTCCATTTTCAACCTTGCGTGCTTTTGATTCTCGCTCGCATTGTTCTTCATTCATTCGGTTCACTTCGTTTATACTCCGACAAAACGTTCACTTCAGCCAGCAACAATCTTCGTTCCGTGTTGACAGAACTAGCCTCTCCCTCTGTTTTCGAAAGGGAATCTTTCTTCAACCTTGATCAATTGCAAGACGCCAGATGACTGTCCTTGTCTCAACCCCATTTGTCTATATTCGGATGTTGATATAAACGATGCTGTTCATATTCTCACCGAACGCACTATCTTTTACATTTCTAGAAAAACATTTTAAAACTAGATTTGAGTTTGCGCAGACAGGGATTTATCAAGAGTACATACACTATCTTCATGCTGAATAGAAGCATGCCTAAGACATAGTAGCATATGTTCACTATCTTTTACATTTCTAGAAAAACATTTTAAAACTAGATTTGAGTCTTCGCAGACAGGGGTTTATCAAGAGTACATACACTATCTTCATGCTGAATAGAAGCATGCCTAAGACATAGCAGCATATGTTCGCTATCTTTTACATTTCTAGAAAAACATTTTAAAACTAGATTTGAGTCTTCGCAGACAGGGGTTTATCAAGAGTACATACACTATCTTCATGCTGAATAGAAGCATGCCTAAGACATAGCAGCATATGTTCGCTGTATTCATCCAGTCCAGATTCAAGAACAATAGTTGTATATCTTTCATCTGAGTTAGGAATCTAGCCACCAAGTGTTTAAGATTTGCTCATCCATTGATAGGTAGAACTTGGATACATTATGTATTTTCATGAACAGGTCGGAAATTAAGAGCATTTCAAAGGAAACGATTACAGGTACTATATGGCTAGCCCTTTTGGTACTGACATGTTCTTCATTCTTCAACTCGCCTTCGGGTAGACTGTGCGTTCTATCCGAATCGGCGGGACCTTTATCAGGAGGTGCTCAGTGTTGGCTAACTTAAGTTCGATTCGTGCCAGCTGTGTCCTAACAAAAATTAGTAGAGGAAGCTTATCATATCATCGCAAAACTTCCTTCGCCCTTATACCGATTCTTTCCGATTTAGAGGCATCAGATTGGCCAAAAATCTTCCACATATGCCGAGGCATCTAGAGGAGGTGGGTGAATTTGACTCACCAAGACTTTTTCGACACCTAAAAGGCACGGACCGCCTATACACTTCTTACTACTGCCTCGTCTCAGACATCCAAGGAAGGATAGAACCGCATCAATTCTCAAGCCCGGCGAGGCGAAAACTGAAGTTTTCGCGGCGGCCACTGCGAATGTTTGAGAAACAAGCCTTCATTGTATCATCACAGAGAACGAAATTCTTCCAATAAGAACGAACAAAAACCCTCAGCCGTACAGACTCGACTGCCATAAACCCCAATACGAGTCGATGTTTCAGACTTCCAAGGACTTTGAATCCGAAAAGTGTACTTCATCTTGCAATGGTGGAAGCGTTTCGATCACCACTTATCTGTGCTAGGCACAAGCAAACATTCCCCAGACGCAGAGCGCTCCACACTTGTTAGCGAAGGAAGATCGTCACACAGACGACAGCATGAAACTCTGAGGAGTGGGAGGCCATGCCAAGCACGACAGATACAAGACAG